TTGAGGCTCACTACATAGATGGCATATTGACTGTAAGCTGATAACATATGCTGAAAACCAAACCCAGACTGATGTGTCCATGAATCTTTGGGGCTGGATCTGGCTCACATCTATCCAGTTAAGCATGCAAACAGGGCAAGTGCTTGTTTGTCTGTGCCCAAACGCGTGATTGTGCTCTGTGCGTGCACGTGCACGCACGTGGCCCTTTGATTCCAGGATCTTTCACTTGAGACCATGTAGAAGCTGACACTAGAGAAAACTCCAGCAGTGTATGTCAGAATGTATCTCATTACATTAAGCAGCACAGATTTAATCTGTGCTTATCAGACTTAATTAAAAAAAAAAAAAGGAAGAAAAAGTCCTTTTAAGGATTAAAGTGAAAATCTTTTTTATTATGGCTCCCAATGTTGTGTTTGTAAATTTTTATTTGTTATTGCTCTAGTGTTTTGTTGGACATGGGTTGTTTTAGTGATAACATCTGCATCATAGTAAATAGATTTAATGAAAGATCTCAGAAGAGTAGCAGAATCCTTCAATGGTGTATCTGTTGTTGATTCACTCTCACAATGGGAAAATCCCATTTCTATTTTAGTCTTTCTACATATGATCTACAAAGAATGCATTTTCTTTGATTGCAATTTTGATATTTAAAGAAATTATTGCTGTAATGAGGCTTCTGTGTCTTGTTCACTATGAGAACATTTCAGGTATTTACATAATTAGAATATTAAGAGACTGTGTATCATAATGTAGAAAACAATTTACTTTTTTCTCTCATTAAAAAAAATAAAACACAAAACCAACCCTAAATGCAGGCTCCCACACTCAAAACTTCTAGATTGTTCATAAAGCACAGATATAGGAACATGTGGAATAAAGAAGCTTTACATAGTTAAGAAGGAAGAGAGAGGAGCCTTTTCTTGTTTTATGTTCAGAAAGGGTTCTTTTTCTCTCATTAATGATAATTTTATTAGGAAAATACAAAAATCGTTATGAGAAAAAAATTATAAATTCTAGTGAATATAATGGCTGTCACTGCTCTCAACAAACCTATGGAGAAAAGATAAAATTACTGCCCTGTTTTGAGAAAGCTGCTTGTTCTAGGTTTACTGAGTGCAGGAATTATAAAAATAAAATGGGATTCTTGTTACGGTCATTTGCATGTCAAATATTCTGGATGTTTTGTTTTTCCAGCTCCCAGTTATTTCAAAGCAGTCCGAATGTCTGAGCTCTGGGAACAAACCAAATGACTTACAGTGCTCTTTGGTGTGCAGATGACCCCTTCCCTAAAAATCTGCTAGTCCAAAGTGGAGCAAGTTGATGATAGTACTCTTCGAAATAATAACTGGCAGCTAGGAGAAACTCTTCCCTTCATATCAGCTTCTAAAATATGTGGCTAAAGGAAATATTTGAGTGGGTACAGATAGGCAACCAGCATTCATTTGCTCAGTGTTGAAAGTTAACATTGGGTTTTTTCATAGTCAAATTTGGTAGTTTCAATGAGCAGAGGATGTAAGAAGTAGCCCAGCAGTGAAGTGCCTCAGACTAAATTCAGTTGCTCTTTATATCAGGCATTAGCCTACACTATTTACCACATGAGAAATGCCGTTATGAGGATGAATTTCATATCAGAATGTTGGTATTTCAATAGTTTAGTGCTCTATCCACTGAAAAAAAAAAAAAATCCCATCCAAATGACACAAAAACCCCCACATCATATCTGTAGGAGGACTTGGAGATTTTGTCAAGTGGTATCTGTGTCAAGATAAATGAGGCAGCCCATCACAAGGAAAGCGTCCATAATGAGTTCCAAATCCTTGCTCAGGGAAGAGATCAAGATGAACCTTCTGGACAGTTGCACTGTGTCACCTTTAATATGTAATAATCAAAAGGCAAATTGTTAGGACAGGAATAGAATGAATTCTTGTTAGGTGTTTTTAAATAAAAAAGTGTATGTCAGACTTTTTTATGTATTTTATGCAATAGTTAGCTTCCCTTCTCAGGAATATACTAGTAGGGCTAAGAAAGGTGAGGGTGAAGAGAAACCAGTTCTGCAGTGAAAGGGCTTCTGTACCAAGGAAAAATTAAGCAACAACAATTCCGTAAAGCTGTGATGAAAGTTCTCTAAATTTGGGAATGGGGATTATGAATAGGAGGCAATTGTTCACTGTTTCTCTGAGGATGGGAGCTGAAGAATATCAAGGGGGGAACATCCAGGCAGCAGGCTTAAAAAAAAAAAAAAAAAAAGTTTTTTTTCATGCCACACGTAACAAGATGTGGAGTTCACTGCTACAGAATGGTAGTAGAGGTCAAAAATATACATGTACTCAAAAGGGGTAGGACAAATTAAAAAAAATAATTAAAAAGTGTACACAAAAGGGTAGGGCAAATACAGAGATAAACTTGTCAGAACCTGGTTGTCGTAGACTGGATGCAGCCTCAGGGGTACCCTGCAGCTGCAGAGCCCCAGAAGCTGGAGCAGTGTGGCAGGGCTTGCCTTACTGCTTGTGCTCTGTCTGTCTGCAACAGGCCACTGTTGGAGGTGGCCTCGTCAATTTCAGAGACTACAGTTCTGACTCAGTGTATTTAGCCTAGTAGTCTTCACCACCTTGTCTCCTCTCACCAATTACAAGTTATAGCCAGCCTTTAACTTCTTTCTCTCTTACACACACTTTTTTCTTACTCCTCCAAGAAGGTAACTCTTTCTTTCTCCAAACTTGGTGGATACTTTGGTTCTCTTTCAAGCTTCTTGATGTTATTTTTCCCTTGAAAGTTACTCTTGAGCCTCGTTACTCTTCCTGGGAATGCTAGTGCATGGTTTGTTTAAATGCATCAGCCTCACGTAGGCATGCTGTATACCTGTTGAGCTCTCCTGACTACCTGTGGTCTAATTGACACACCCATCTCCTGGAAGTTGCAGGGACATCCTGTTTGATTTCTTTTTTTTCCCCTCGTGTGAACTTGGCACCAAGCAGATCTAATGATGTGAAGGTTGTATTTAGTCAGAGACAAGGAACAGGGGTGGGGATTGTGGTACACTGAAGCCCTTGAGGATCTTGTCTGTAAGTGTGGCCAAAGAATGATAATGTATCTTGCAGAAAACCTTTCTTCTCTGCTCTTACTCATGCATAAATTTACTTGCATTCCTCAGTTCTGGGGGACACAGGACAAAGAGCTACTTTTCCTTTCTCCTACCACCTCTTTTCCAGCAGCAAGAAATACATGCCTGCTAGGTCCATTCGGGCACCTCTTTTGTTTCTGCTGTTGAACCCCAACATTAGGAGAATATCAGTAGTAGACAAAAACCTCAAATAGGCTCCTTCAAGCTCTTGAAGTTCCTAAATAATAGAAAATTGTTCATATTTTAGTATTTTAGCATGTAGTAAATAGACTGTTTTATTTTTGTGTATGTGACCACTGGGTGCAGTCTAGTTTTGCCTTTGTTCTGCAAACTAGTTTGATGGATACTTAATGCACAACCTTTTATAAAAACATCTTTTTAGATTATCCTACTTTTTCAGGTAGGTTGAGTTGAGGAATTTTCATACACCTTTTCCACCCACATGGGTGTGGTGAGACTTAATTTCTGAGCCTATATAGTAAGTGCCATGGGAGTTCCAGCAAGTATTGCAGTTCCTATTTCTACGTCTAAGTCACTTGTACCTAGTGTACACAGAAACGGAAGTGGGAGTGCTATGTTCTGGTCTGCTTGTCGGATTCTTCCCAGGATAGTGCTGGGAAGCAGAAGTTGGATGAAGTTACTTTGTAGTGCATAGCTGGTTTATAAGCCTGACAGAAGCGGACTGCATTGGATAGTAATAGGTTCATTTAAACAATGCTAATAATCATCATCCATTTTTGGGATATGAAATTGGAATGTACAATGAGTTGCAAGTAGAAGGGAGCCTTGATAATTGATGAATAATTTGCTTAATTATGTTTTTCTTAGTCAATGCATCATTAAAGCAATGAACAAGTTAAATCACAGAATCACAGAATCCTAGGGGTTGGAAGGGACCTCGAAAGATCACCTAGTCCAACCCCCCTACCAGAGCAGGGTCACCTAGAGTACATCACACAGGAACGCATCCAGGCGGGTTTTGAATGTCTCCAGTGAAGGAGACTCCACAATCTTTCTGTTTGCTTAATGTTTGACAGTGTCAATATTTTCCAGTCTCCCAAATAATTTAATAGTCAGGATACATGTATTTGCAAAGGAAAAAAGAAGTTACTCTGGAATATACATGAATAGGGAGTGGATAAGTATTACAGGTTATTTAAAGGTTATTCAAACAAAGCCACACCACCTCCTCTCTCCTCCAAAAAAAACCCCAACTCAACCAAAACCAGACAACAACAAACCACAACTACTTCATTTATTGCACAAAAATAAAAAGTTGGGGTATGTAATGAAGCGCCTTAGTAGAACATGTTTCCTATGGTACCTCTGTATGATTTTTATAGTTGGAAGGGATCTGCCATTGCAAAAGTGGAGTTTTTTCTGTAGGTTTTCAGAAAGGCCAGTTCATGACTGGTGACTAATCTCAAATGTTGAAGTGACCATGGTCAAAAAAGGATTAATAAATGCAAGTGCTGACTCAGGTTGCTATACTCAAGTAATAACCCTTGGGTTTTTGTCTGCTCGTGATTAAATCAACAGATTTGTGTTCTTATGTTCTTAGCTGTCTTACTGCAGCTGTCAGCATCTTTATTTTTCCTGTGACCAGAAAACAGGTTGAATAAGTAATTAAATAAGGCATAATCTTTGTTTCCAAGGCCTACTGAAGAAATCAATTAGTTCGCAAAAAAACAGATTATGAAGATTTATATATAAATGTAAACACTCTGAAGCAAATCAAGATATTCTTATGTCCACTGGTTTTGGAATTTTTAACATAAACTTCTGACCTTTCTTATCCTCTGTTAATAATTTTTTTTTTGGTAGTATTTTAAGACTATTTCTTGACTGTAAAAGGAATGCTTTGCTTCTATGTTTGTAGATGCTGTGAAGCCACCAGTCAGTTCTTTACAACCATCTACTGAGTTACCCTTGCCCATGAACACTCCACTGCCTTCCATGCAAGCAGAATCTTCCCTACCTCCTCCTTATCAGCTTATTAACATCCCCCCACTGGAGTCTTTCTCTGGTCAAGAAGATCCTCAAGACTACCTACTGCTAATAAACTGTCAAAGTAAAAAACCTGAACCTATGAGGTAAGTGTCATTTTTTTAATTAATAACATTTGTATTAGATGCTAAGAACACTTGTACTAAAAGCACTTTTTTGTTGTCAAGTCATTGAATATTTGTATGGACAGAATCTGTGGGGAAATCTGCCTGGAACTTCTGCCTCTTTTCTTTCCATGCTTGAACTTTTTGTTTGATCAGTGTTAGACCCATATTGCATTCTTCAAAAATGTGGACAGCAATTGCCAATATGAAGTATCAGATAAACGCAGTGATCCGAGTATTTCACTGTAGCTTGAGGGTACTTCTCCATGTCATACATCACCTTTCTTTAGTTGCAATCTGGTGTGCTAGTCTACGACTAGAAAAAGCTGGAGAAATTTAGCCTTTCTCTGTTCTGGTATTTGGTGCCCCAGTTTTGCCAGTTAAAGCTTTCATGGGAGGGATTCATTAAAATGTGCTGATACTTATTATTACCTACCAGGTTGCCACATCACTGAATACAGCAATCCATGAATGGTATTTGGTGACTGTTACTAACATGGCTGAGACTCTCAGTGGATATAATGGATAATGGATGTAATGGATATAATGGATAATGGATATTTTAAAAACAGGCTCAAATAAGGCTTATTCCTCACTGAGAAGAGAATACCCGCACTGTTGGTTTTCCAGAGAAGCGTGTAATAGGGAATTTTAAGTAAAGAATTGAGAACTTGTACTGAATTAAATGTATATTGATTTATCCAACCATTACTTCTAACTGAAATATATGTACAGCACCTCCTGCATAGGAGGTTATGCTGTTTATGGTAGCTACCTGGGAACTATCGCTATGGTTTTTCAGACTGGATCATGGTGGCCATCCCTGGAGTAGGCTGTACAGAGACTTGAAATCTCTGTCCTCTGAGATACAAAAAAACCCCAACAAACAAACAAACAAAACTCCAACAAACAAGCAAACACAAAAAACACCAACAAAAAGGACACAAAAAACAAACAAACAAAAACCACAAAAAAACCAAAACAAAAAAACCCCACAAAACCAACCAAACGAAAAAACCCAAAAAGAACAACAGAAAAAACCAACCACAAACAAACTTGACTGGACAAGCTCCTAAGGAGCCGCACCTGACTTTGAAGTTGGCTTTGCTTAGAGGTACTGGAAGAGCTGGACCAGATAATCTCCAGGAGTCCCTTCCAACCTTGAGTATTCTGCAGGAGAACCTTATAAATCTCTCTGGTGAGCTTCTTTTCTGCAGTCGTTGAAAATAAAATTTGCTGGGTTATTTCCAGGAAAATAAACAAAACGTCTTTTTGTGATTGCAGAGTAGTACATGGAAGGCTGAGGGGAGCTTGCTTTGAAAGTGTTTTCATGAGTATTTCACATACTCCCTTAGGGCCATACCTTTTAGTGGCAGTGCCTTCTTCATCAACACCTTGATGCTCTGCCAGTTTTAACTGTGCCATGTGCTCTCCGCTCCCTTGGCATTTTTATCTTGCTCTGTTGTGCCTCAGGAGTTTCCTGCTCCATTTATTAAGGGTAGAAAAGTATCCACCCTTTACAATCTTTGTTTTAAAATGGAGTAATGAACTATAGTTCCCCCAGAGTATGGAATGTGCAGGTTATGGACAGCAAAGCCCCCTGCAAGAGAAGGGGAAACCCAGTGTCTGCTTTCTCAGTGTCAAAGGTTTCAATATTTAGTGATGTTTAGAAGCTGGTGATGCCTGAGGTATATCACTGTTCCTGCCAAAAGTTATATAAAAAAAAATTTGGTATTATTTCCAGCATGGCTTGGCAGAAAAATACTCACTTTTGATTTCAGCACCCTAGCTCATCAGCAATGTGACTGCGTGCCTATTTGCTTCTGTGAGGGTTGGGCACAGAGTGGATTTGTAACACCACCACATGAAGTGGGTTTTTTTAGAAATTATCCGGGTGGGGATGTTTAATTAACATTCTGACCTGACTAACATAGTTGTGAAGTAGTGAGAGCAAAGTCTGAGGAGTCCATAAAAAGGAGGGGGCACAAATTCAGCAAGGTATCAAGTCCATGAAGAGCCTGCAAAATTTATTGAGGAAGACACTGGTGACATAGGAGAGAAGGTGTTTGGGGGTCAGGGAAGGCAGAATGGCCAATGGAGACAAAATGCCAAGGGAACTGAGAAAGGACTGAACAAAATCTTTGGGAGTGTAGAGGCAGTTTAAGTAAATTGTGTTTTTTATAGGACTATTTGAAGACAGTGAAACATTGGGATTGTGATTACTTGGAATTATATAGGCTTAGTGTATTACTTGTAGCTAAGCTCTCTAAAGACCTGTGTCCTTTTATTAAGGAGGCTGTAATAATGAAAATTCACAATAATACTTATGCTGGAGTTTCAGTTCCACCTTGAAAGGGCTACTTATGTTTCATGTTTAGTGTAGTAGGTATTCTACTGGATTTGGGCTGGAGAGAGAGGATATAGACATTCCTGTGGAATTCTAATTCTGTGATCTGTGTAGCATGTTATTACGATGATCAGTTAGAGGGTACTCTGTGCACTACCCTGATCCTTACAGGTGAAGAAAGAAACCATAAAATGGCTGCATCAATTTATCTGCATATTTCATAAAACCTTTTTTCCTTAGTGTGAACTGCAAAGCTTAATTGAAAGCTTAATTGATGTAATTAAATACGCAGGTATTGTTACTTGAATGGATTATATAATTCTGTGACATTTTCCCTTTAGACTTCATAGGTAATCTGGGAATCACTGAATTTTATTTCAAGGCTTCGGGGTTTTTATCCATGTGAGACAGGTAACTGTGAAACAGAGGAAGTATCTGAGCTGTCTCTTAAAAATGAATTTTGAAGAACTGTGATATTTCACAACTAGCACATAATTTTGAAATGCTTCACTCTAGTGTCATGCAATGCACCAGGTACTGTTGTGAGAACATCTTGGATGCAGCACTTGCAGCTGTGGTAATCATGCTGGATTTTGTCTAAAATAGTTTTATACTGTGATCACTGTTGATTTGAGAAAGAGATTGTTCCACTACAGCATTTAGTGAGATGTTAAGGTTTGTATTTGGATACTAAATAAGAAAATGCAGCCAAAGCCTGTTTCCTAAACCCCTATTGTTCTAGCTCATTTAGGAGGTATATTGAAATACTAAATGCTCTTTTCCTCATTTTTCCTATGTTTATGAAGCAGCCAAGGGTCACCCTTTCTCTCAGAAGAAGGGCAGGAATACCTGCTATTAGAAGATTTTGAAAGTAAAAAGATTCCACTGCAGTGAGTGAACAGTAGCCATTCTTGGAACGTGTGTGAGAAATTAATCACAGAGCCATTAACTTGCCTGGAAATACTGTTTGTTTGAGATGAGTCTTGCATGGTGTTCTATGAATTTTAACAGAAAAATTACCTAACTTTGGCTTCCATTTGCTGGAAATAGAGCTGCATTATGTGAATCAACTATGTATTGTAGATTTTCAAAATTGTAGGTAGTGTTCTCTATCAGGATCAGTGGTTAACAGTGATTACTTTTAAAAACATGAAGTAAATAAGAAATGCCAAATGGAAGTTGTTGCCATCAACTAAGCAAATGACAGGCCAGGTTGCCTCATGTCATGGTTTTTGAAAGTCTTCTGTTTTCACAAGTGCTTATGGTCAAGACAGAAGAAGCAGCAGCATTCACTTAGACCCAGAAAAACGCCTAAATTTAAAAATTACAGCATTTGTTGCTTACATACGATACACGTGCTATTGTTGCATTTTGAGCTTTGGTTAGATAGTCTTGCATGTTTTCCTAAGATATAGTGTTTATATTTTATTTCTCTAGTTTTAGATTTTTTTTTCATTTTAAAATGTATCATAGCAGACTGGAACTAACAATTGTGGTTCTACAGTTGATTGTCAGTGTCCAACTGCCCACTTTATTTTTATAGCATATAAAAACCAGATAACAATCCTTTCCATACTTGCTTGTGTAAAACACATGTGACTTTTACTGGGACTTAGATCTGAGTGAATAGCACAGGCCTAGAAGAATATGTCTAGAAAGTGAGGAACTCTTGAATTAATTTTTGTTATTAGAGATCAAGGGCTGCAGCAGGGGCTCAGCTCAGTGTTAAGAGTCACACAGTATGTTCACAATTCATTATGTACTCTCTAACCTCATGTAGTTCCTTCAGTCCTATGTACTCTGTTTTTTAAGTGTGTTAACTTCCAGTGTTTCATTAGTGAATTTTTTGAGCTCTGAGGCAAGTGAACTGTTAGCAAAAAGAGACAGGTTTTTGATGCTTAGCATCTTAAGGAATATAGGAAGTTGCACTTCCTTCTTTGTGTTAAGGAGAAATACTTAATGAGAATTTTATCATAATCTTTGAGGGATCTGTTAAACTAAATGCAGATTAATATTTGGAGTCACCTAGAAACGAATTCCCATTTGTGAGACAGAACTTAAATCTAGGTTTAAAATAGTAACTAGAGTAAAATAAGTGTAGTTTTCCTATTAACCCCCCTCTAAAAGTAAGCTAATAGAAAAAAGTGACACATTTAAAGCCAGAAAAGACCTGCTCAGACTGATGGAAGATTGTATCTCTGCTATTTAACAGAACAATAAACAGTTGGTTAGGTGAGTGGTATTTTTCTTGACTGCAGGTGTCCAGCCTAAGCTAATCACGTTGGTTCCCTCGATAGCTGGCAGAGAGGCACTTTGGGAGTGATTCATCGGGTTTAGATGGGTATCTAAGACAAACGGATTGTGTTTCACACAGTCTCCATTTCTTCAGGGACTGCAGAGGAAACCTAAATGAATAGCTAAACTGGGTTACTTTCTTCTCAGGTTACCAGAACCCTGGGAGATAAATCCAGCTGTCCCTTAAGAAAGAAAGTTCTGTGCGGTCTTACCGATAAATTGAAACTTGAGTAATAATTTTAGGTTGTGTTGACTTTAAAGCAGAGCACCTCTTAAAATAAAGGGTGTTCATGCTGTTGATTTTTAAGTATTTTATTCCTTAGAAGTTTTGTAAACAGTATGACCCAATTGCTTAATAGAGCTTAGTAAGAGTAGTATATCAGCTATTTATTGATACACACACATGCTGAAGTATGTACATACGTATGTATAAATTAACACAGTGGTGTGGTACTGGGGTAATGAAAATAGGAAATATAATGGTATGATTGATCAAAAAGTGTATGGAGCGCATTAACTCCACCTGTGTTAGTATTTTGCCACTGTCTGAATGTTCATCTAAGCAAGGAGTCCAACCGGTAACAGAATTTCTCTGCCCAGAGCAAGGTAACTGGGGAGGTTAAAAAAAGAAAGAAAAAGATGTTGCAATGTATTTCAATTGCAACTTTATTTTCCGTGTAAGTTTACTGGAACTGGTTTGTGCCAGCATTAATGACTGCAATTCTCATAAAAGATGGAATTTCCAAGAAATAGAAGGTAAAATACTGTGAAGTTCTGAACACCACTTTCTTAGTTTGCATTCAAGACAGAAGCACTTTGTTGCACATACGTCCTATGTTTGCTTGGTGCCCTCCCCCCCGTCAAAGATGCTGTCTTCCTCTTCTTTCTGTTCTTATCCGTTCTTCTCTCTTCTTTATTTATTTTGAACCAGTTGTATATGATCAGAAGATTACTTTAGGCATGCACTTAAGGGTGTTACAAGCAGTTGTAGTTTTTCTTCTAACGCCTTTGGCATACTGATTAGAACTACTGAGTGTGTTATTTTTACATTTAATGGTGCTATTGAAGTGCTCCTAGTTTGCAGCACGGGTTAAAAAAAAAAAAAAGTATTAAAAAATTACCCTGTTCCCAGACAAACTCTGTTCCAGATTGCCTTCCTGGAAATCAACTACTTTATGAAACATCAATTTGTTTAGCTGCTGCTAAACACTTTTGTTTTCTGTTTCACATGCATGGATTTGTATGTATGTAGTTATTTAGGATCCTTCCTGAAGTACTACTGTTTGTTTAATAATAGAGTTCCTGCACTTCATTTTAACAACAACAAAAAAATAATTGGAAGAGACTGATAGCTTTTTAGTTGTTTACATTTTAAATATTATGTTTATTATTTGTAATGTTTGTTTTTCTTTGTATGTTCATCAACATTTTCATCTTTCAATCTTATGTGTAGATCTCATGCTGACTCGGCAAAATCCAGCTCTTCTGAAACAGACTGCAATGATAACGTGCCCTCCCACAAAAATTCTGCTCCATCAGCGAGCAAGCACGCTGTGAACGGCTTTTTTCAGCAGCAAGGTGCTTATGACTCCCCACCTTCTCGCAGTGGACTGACACTGGCAGACTGCAGCCTTTATAACCTGCCTAGGAGTTACTCGCAGGATGTTTTACCGAAGGCAGCGTCTCCATCTGGGACTGATGCAGAAGGAGAGCAACATGTTTTCAATACTCCATCAGCAACATCTTCATTAGACGCACAGATAAGACACATCTCCATTAGCTATGACATTCCCCCCACACCTGGAGGTACTTACCAGATTCCACGAACTTTTCCGGAGGGAACGTTGTCTCAGACTTCAAAACTGGAGACTATTCCAGATATTCCTCCACCTCGGCCACCAAAACCTCACCACACTGCAGATCGATCTCCTGTGGAAACGTGTAGCTTTAGTCGCACTGCTTCAGACACTGACAGTAGTT